CCCCAAAACCCCAAAACCCCAAAACCCCAAAACCCCATTATAAATTAAGGGCAATGATAATCGAATAATAATACATATAATACTTATAATTTTAGACATATTACAAGATTAATTCATTCGAATCCCCACACTTCAAATAAAGTGCAGGTGAAGTCACTACCACTAGACAATATTTCATTATTAAATGTTGATGTTTTAGAGCTGCTGCCTCTATAAAAATGATCCTTAAGATAGATGCCAAATCTTCCATAAGTTCCACCTCCTAATCCAATACTAGTCTCATTTGCCCATTATAACTAGTCGTTTTCTCCAGACCAATAATAAGCTATTGGTACATCTCCATTTTTGAAAGTATACACGAAATTTTCCCCTGTTCCAAAGAACTTAGATGAATTCTTCCAAGTCTCAGAGCAGAAACCTCCGAATATATAGCCATTGGTGTCCTTAATTACAAGAAGAGTATATTTCCATTATTTGCATTTTTCAAAGAATGTTCCCTCAGAATCTCCATCTCGATTGATAGAGTACACTAACTCCCAATCCATGGTCATCATCATAGAAGGAAAATGTTCTACTAAATTACTTATTTATAAGTCAGTAAGAATCTCTGATTTGTCACTCTTTTTGGGAATAAATTTGATAAGAGTTTATTATTATGTCGAAGGTGCTGTTTTCAATACAATCTTAGCTGCTCCTCCTTTCACTTTATCACTCACAAACTAAGTCATTTTGACTTCTGTGAGTTTACTCTTTGCTTGCTCACTAAGGATTATATCGTAATAAGGAGTATAGGTCCCTGATACTTCATTTTTAGGAGCAGCCTGAATCTGCTCATTGAGTTTTTCGTAAACAGCTTTTACAATTTTCTTTTGGTTTTTATTAGTCAATATCATCCCCTCCATATCAAAATGTTGAAACTATAGTAAATTAAATTTAACTTAAAATGTACCTTTATAAAGACATTAGCGATTGGAGTTTTCTCAGTAGATTCACTTTTGAGTGTAAGGCCATTTACTGTTGTTAAATTAATTTAGATGATGTAGTCATATTTATAAGCTTTCTTGATGAAGTTATTATCAGTTTGCAATGCCTTTTCACTAATAAGCTTTAAGATATCTGCGTTGTAAATATCTTAATAATCGAAATAAGCATTGAACTATTGCAGTTGATCTTTGTCCTAAAATAATTATTGTGTATGAGTATACAATATTTGCTTCAGGATTGATAACTGGCTCAAAGTAAAGGTAGTATTGGTGTAAGTGAATGAAGCCTTTGATTTACGACGTCTTTGTGACGTAATATGCCTCAGTTTTCATAACTTGATCCTTGTCATAAAATATGTAGTCTGACACGCTAATTAAATCTTCATCTACTTATTCACTTAGCATTGAAGGATCCTTTTTCTCTTGGTGAAACATACTTAAAAAATCTTGAAGATCTGTTTTAGGCTGAGGTAACTTGCTAACAAAGTTCTTGCTGAAGTTTGAAAATTCGTCTATATTTTTAAATTAGCATAGTAGATAAATTACCAAACACTTTTTTGTAGATATTCTCAATATTAATAATCTCCCCCTTTTCATTTTCGAATTCTTTGCTTTTTCTCTCTGATTTTTCGATCATTGATTGAAGAGTTTCTCCTGCCTCTAATGATTTTTTACTTCTCCTTCGAGCTTGCTAAAGCTAATCATCCTCTAACTTTAGTTCTTCCAATAACTAGTAATTGGAGTTGCTATTTGTATTATTTGCTGGAGAAGGTAACTTTTAATCTGCCACTGGCTTTTAAACTGGCACTTCTTATTTTCTTTTCATGACTCTAATCACCTATTATTGAGTTATTATGTGCTATTTAATTCATACTTATTTAGGATAGACATACTCATTCCATATGTCATTGATCTTGATAAGATAATTGATGCTATAAGCAGAATTCAATGAATATTAATGATTTTTGATTAAGGAAATTACTTCATGTCGAATTTATATGCTATCTTTACCACGGTGTCACCTTGCTAGACAACATAGTCTTCAAATTAATCATCTTCTCCGTTGATACCTAGAATACTTAATCATGATCTTCATACTATTTAGAAGATTAGAGGTAAGTGTCCCATAAGAGTATTCATTCATTTTTGATTATCTAAACTTAAGTCTTATAATATAATTTATATCAAAATATTATAAATCTTCTATGATGGGGTTTTGGGGTTTTGGGGTTTTGGGGTTTTGGGGTTTTGGGG